CAACAACAAATTCACTATGGTCCACCTGCACTTGGACAGAATGTACCACCAACACTTGGTCAGAATGTACCACCGCCACCAGTTGGTCAAAATGTACCACCATCTGTTGGTCAAAATGTTCCACCATATCATTTTCCTCCAACACCATCAGATAATAGACGTCCTGGTGAGCAACCTCAATGGATACCTCCACAAGATAACCGACCATGGGATAAAACTAATAATCGACCACCTATTTGGGAAAGGAATTCAGATAATAGACCAATGGATCTTGATAATCGACCGTCATGGGATCATGAAGATCGACGATCTTATGATTTGAGACCACCAAGAGAACGTAATCATCGAAGACCATCACCTCCTCATTCAGATTATCGAGATTATTTTGAAAGAAGACAACGAGGTCATCATCGTAACCGACAAGATAGTCCAAGAAATAGAGGGTCAAGAAATAATAATGGAGGAAAAAGTGATCGTGATTGGAATGAACAAGACCGTGATTGGGGAGGTCGAGATAAAGATAGAGAAGAAAGGTTTGATCGTAGTAGAGATCAACACAGGGACAGTGCTTATGGTATAAAAAAGCGAAGAGGAGGATTAGTATCTTAATAATTTTATTTCATTACTCAATTTAGAAATTTTATGGGTTTTATTTTGTGCCATTTATTTTTATTATGTAAATTTTATTATAAATAAAGGCCACTTCGGCCCTAAAAGATACAAGTCTCATTATATCAAAAAGAAATCAAGTCTCATTATATCAAAAGACATAGTGGAGATAACATAGATATGATCACTAACCAAGATTTTTTTTAGAATAGAATTTTTTTTATCTCGCCTTTAATTTCTTTTTGTAATAGCTACCATTTTTTTAATTCAAATAAAGACAAGATGTTTAGTAAAAACGCCATATATATTTTACATAATAACAATGTTAAAATTTTTATTTTTATAATACTAAATTTTTTTATCAAATTTTAAAAAATTATTTTATAAACTTTTGATGATCAATTTCGTACACCATATATACGTTTTACCTGTTACGGTACTGGTGTCCGAAGCCTAGCGTTATCAACCTAAAAAAAATTTTCTATCGACAAAATCAAATTTTATGATTACGATCAACAGGCTCTGCAAGAGGAAACTGTATTTCAATAGTTGACAAAACAATCTTTATAGCAGATTTTTACTATATAATTCAAGGCAAATACTGTAATTTATTATTCATTATAGAAAAGTAAAATCAGGTAAATTAGGTAATCATAATAAATATCGTTATGGATGATAAATATTATAATAAATTATATTAATATATTATTATATAACGATAAGTGATAACATCAGAATAAAATTATCGTTATAGTCTTTAAATCAAAAAATTTTATCTATCGGGTTTCAAATTTCCGTTGAAATAAATTTTTTTTTTTTTTTTTTTTTGAATTAAAATATTTCAAAGTCTTTTAAATTATTTTGAAAATTATTACATTCATAAAAAAAAAAAAAAAGTTATTACATGAAATAGGAGTTTAAATACGTATCACATCATCGTCCCTGGTCTCTAGACACTCTCATTTCTTTCTCTTACTTAATAGCAAGTTCGATTTTTTAATTTTCGAATACGTTATTTTTCACTAATTCTGAAACCTCTCATTCAAAAAATAGCGATAGGCTTTTATTATATACCGGTAATTAGAGTTGGGATAACTTAACTGACAACGTAAGTTATTAATACATTGTAAGTTACATGACCTCATGTAACTTAAAGCGGGCCAGCATTAAAATAATTCGGGCAGTATTAAGATTAGTTCAAGCTAGCATTTTAAGGCAAAAGATTTTATATAGGAATTTCGAAATGATTATAAAAGAACCTAAAATACCGAGCAAGACAAGAGCGAAGACCCGAATTTAAGTTTTACAAACATAATTTACGTAACTTAATTATAACTTACCGATTACTTCGTTACCAGTTACGTCAGTTAACTGTTACGTAAATTACCTAATTATACCACTATTGTTTTATTCAATTTTCAATGATTAATCTAAGTAACTAAGTAACTGGTAAGAAACCAATTTGTATTATGATATCGCTATCGCTATTAAAGTCACATGATATCATCGTTAGAATTTATATTAGTACTGTATTTTTTTATTTCCCGTGAACAATTTGTCA